TAGCACAAAGAGCTCTCTTTTCAGCTGTTTGTTGTTTGTTAACTCTGCTTTAAGTCTTGCGCGTTCTTCCTTCAAAGCATCAATTTCACTGGTTAAAACCTCAAAATCTTCAAAAGGAAAGTCAGTTTGAGTTCCCTTGCGATTGTTTGGAAGATGCTGATAATAATCGTGATCTAAAAGAACTGCCTCGTTGCTTGTAACACTGGTATCTTCGCCTACCTGGGTAACCCTTTTACTCTTTTTAGGTTTAGGATATTCATCGAATGTTCGTTTCTTCCTAACATCTAGTCTCTTTTCACGGGAAGAAACAGGTTCTTCCTTTGCCGAGGGATTAAAATACTTCGGTAATTCACCTGGAATAATCTCTCTTCTCCCGCCAAGCGACTTTTTGATAGAGGAAGCTTTGAAATGTGCACTGCAAATCCGGGGGTTTTTTCGACCTCGGAATTCGGGATCACTTCGTCCACAGAAGTTCTTCCAAACCCTTCTAGAACTCTGTTCTGAAGGGAAACAGAAAAATGAAAGATTCGGACGATTCCTGGAACTGTTCAAGCAGTTTGCCACAGAACAAAAGTTCACCATAACTTCAGAAAATAATTGTAACTTTTACATTACAGGCAGTACACCGGTCTCTGTTTTTAATTTTTCCCGCACGCTGTCCTCTAAGCCTCGTTTACATGTTCCTTTCTAGGTCTCAGGACCGCGCGTCCAACTATATCGAAAGGACCCTATTTGTGGGAGGTTATGGTGGAACAATAGTTGTTGTCAGTAGAATATTCTTAGTCCAGTTTTTGTAAAATGATCGGTCAGTTTTGCTGTGGTGTTACTGGCTGTAAGACTCAAATGATGTAAGTCAGTCATGATTAGTCTGTTTCACTCCATCGGTGAAGTTAGGTTGTTCTGTTCAGTTCGTTTGTCACGTTAATGTCATGAATGAGTCGTTTGTATGGAGCCGGTAGTAGTTGACACCTGTTTAGGGGAGTCTGTTCTAAGTTAGAAAACCAGCTTTCCAGAGTAAGTCATTGAAAGTAGTTAGGGCTGTAGGTTAGGCATTGGGAGAGTCCCAGTCTATACTGAGGTTCG